TCTGTGTTCTCTAATAGGTTTTTTAAAAAAAGTAGTATAGCTGTCAATTCTTCTCTGTATGTGTGGAGAATTCTCCAGTGAAGCTGTTTGGGCCAGGGCTTTTTTTGTTGCCAGTGGTTTTTTCATGACATGTTCAATTGATCTTTTATTATGAGTCTGTTCAAATTTTCTAACTCAGTATGTATTACTTTAGATTAGTGTGTTTCTAGAAATTTGCCTATTTCTTCTAGATTTTCAAATTTGTTGAAGTACAGGTCTTCATAGTATTCTGATGTTCTCCTTTTTATTTCAGTTGGTTCTGTTGTGACAGCACCCATTTCATTTCTTATTCATGTTATTTTCATTTTCTCCTTCTCTTCTTTATTAAATTTGCCAGTGGTTTGTCAATTTGATTAGTCTTTTCAAAGAACAAAATTCTAGTCTTTTTTGTTCTATCTATTGTTTTTCTGTTTCATTTATTTTTACACTAATTTTTATTGTTTCTTTTTTTCCTTCTGGTGACTCTAGACTTTTTTTGCTGCTCTTTTTCTAATTGATGGAGCTGTTAGGTTAAGGTGTTTATGTTGGCTTTTTCTTCCTTTTTGATGTGTGCATTTATTGCTATAAAGTACCCTCTGAGTACTCCTTTTGCTATGTCACAAAAATTTTGTTATGTTGTACTTTCATTCTCATTTGATTCCAGTAAATTTTTTATTTCTTCTAGTATCCAGTAGTTTTAAAGGAGGTTTTTATTCAGTTTCCATGTGTTTGCTTTTTCTTTGATATTCGTATTCCTGATTTCTAATTTTATAGCACTGATAACATACTTTGCAGTTTCTTGATGTTTGTAAATTTATCAAGGCTTGTTTGGTGGCCTAACATATGGTCTTTCTGGAGAATACTCCATGTGCCCTGGAAAAGAATGCATGTTGTGTTGTTGTTGGGTGAAGTGCTCTATATATGTCTATAAGGTCAAATTGGTTGACTGTATTGATTAGTTTTTCTGTGTCTTTGTTAAATTTCTTTCTAGTTCTGTCATTGGAAGTAATATATTAAAGTCTCCTTCTATTATTGTAGAGTTGTCTTTTTCTGTTTTCAATTTTATTACAGTTTGACTTATGTATTTTGGGGCTCTTTCATTGGGTGTGTAGATATTTATTATGGTTATGTCTTCTTGTTCAACTGATTCTTTAAACATTACACAACATCCTCCTTTGTCTCTTATGGTGGTTTTTGTCTTGAAGTCAATTTTATCAGAAATTAATATTGCTACTCCTGCTCTTTTTTAATTGCCATTTCCTTGATATTTTTTTCCCATCCTTTGATTTTTAGCATATTTTTGTCTTGTGTCTAACATGTCTCTCTTGTAGAGACATATTGATGGTCACTTTTTTTTTTTAAATCCATTTCTTTTTCTTGATGGGTGCATTTAACTCACTTACATTCAGGTTTATTGTCAAGTAGTATGAATTTATTGCTGTCATTTTGTCATGTGTGTTTTTTTTTTTCTGGTATTGTTTATTACTTTGTTATATATAATATTCTGTGCTGAGCTCATTATTTTATGTGTTTTTTTTTTTTTAATCACTTCCTTCGTTTCTGCTGTGTTAGTATTTGCTAAATGTTTGTGCCTTTCCTCTTTTTTATTTTGATGAGAAGGCTTATTAACGTTCATTGAGGTTACCCTTGATTTATTATTTTTTCCCATTTAAAACAATCTGTTCCTCTCAAAATTATCTTGACTTCTTCTCCATTTGGAAATTCTGTTCTTACATTATTCATTCCCTCTTTTTGCCCTGTAGTTGTCCTCATTCACAAATTCATGTCTCTGGTTCCCTTTTTACAATCTGGCATATTTATTTTACTTTGGATACTTCTACATCTTGATTGTTTTCTGGGTGGTGTTGTCATGTGTGTTAATCACTGACTGTTATCTGCTGTTGTTGGTTCTCTGTCTTAAGAACTCCCTTTAGCATTTGTTGTAAGCCTGTAAGGTTTTAACACATTCCTCTAATTCCTGTTTGTCTGAAAATGTCTAATTTTGCCATCATATTTGACGGACAATTTTTCTGGATATATAATTCTTGGTTGTCAATATTTTTCTCCCAGGCTTTTATATATGTCATTCCATTGGCTTCTTGCCTGGCTTGTTTCTGCTGATAAATCAGATCGTCTTCTTATTGGTTGCACTTTATATATAACTTTTTGTTTATCCCATTCTACTTTCAGAATTCTTTCTTTGTGTTTGTTTTTGGAGCTTGATTATTATATGTCTTGGTGATTTTCTTTTGGGGTTTATCTTGTTGGCAGCTCGTTGACCTTCTTGAATGCATATCTTCTCCTCTTTCATCATATTAGGGAAGCTCTCTTCCAACAAATCTTAGACAATTTTTTTCTGTGAGTTTGTCTCTTTCTGTTCTGGAATTCAGATTACATATAACTTATTCCTCTTGATAGTGTACCCAATAATTCTTAGGATTTTTTTTTATTTTCTTCTTTTTTGATTGACCTCTTAACAAAAGAGTGTTGAGAGATTTGTCTTCATTCTCATTAATTTTGGATCCCATTGATTTGATTCCACTCCTTTGCTCTTTCAATGTGTTATCTGTTTTTGAAATTTTAGTATTAATCTTCTGATTTTCTATTTGCCTGTTTTGTATGGTTTCTAATTTTTCATTTATTTCATCCCTTTGTTCTTGTACTTATTATTATTATTATCATCATTTTGGTAAATTCTTCTAGGATTTTGTCTATGTTTTCCTCAATTTTGTCAGTGTGTTCCTCAATTTTGTCAGTCTTCTCCTTGATCTGTCTCTCAATCCATTGAAGGCAACTAAACATAATTCTTTTGAATTCCTTATCTAGTAGCTTCAATGCTGCTTCTTCCCCTGAGAGGTTTTTGGCCTGTATTCTGATCCTTTGTTTGTCCCAGATCTCTGGAGTCCCTAGGCATTGCAAACAGTTAACACACTCAACAACAAAGGCATAGTTTTATTATTTTCCTATTTATCTGAAAATGTCTAATATTGCCATCATAGCTGAGGGACAATTTTGCTGGAGATATATATATATATATATTTTTTTTTCTATCAACTCTGCTTTATTGAATGAAGTATGTGACTAGATAAGAACAGAATTCCTCCTGTCTTTTACGTTTGTGTAAACACCCTTTAATAGCCTCAATAATTAGAAATTATAATTTGTTTAAATGCCTTGACCCTCAAGAGGAATAAGGAGTGGCATTAAATAAAATGGCAATGAGATAGCAAAAGCTTTATTTGTGAGCAAAAACTATATGTTCTGTTTGACTGTAAGTGTTTCAACTTATGTACACATTTTTTCTCTCTTCTAAGTTCTTTAACTGGTAAAGGTATGTTGTTGTTGCTATTTGCTGTCGAGTCGGCCCCGACTCATAGTGACCCCTCCTTGGGTTTCCGAGGCAGTATCACTACAGAAGTAGGATTGCCCTACCTTCCTTCTGAGGTAAAAGTATAGAGGCAAGAAATACTGTAAAATTTGCTTGATTTGTAATTCATTAAGTTTACCAGTCCACTGATACATCTGTATGGAGCTTTTCAAAAGATGTTTTGAGAATTTATTTACGATCCTTGAAAACAGATAGTGCTGAAAAACTTTCAAGTAAATTACAGGCTCCTTAAACTCACCACATATATTTCAACATTTAAAAAGATGCCCATTTTTCTTCAAACGTAATTTTCTACTACTCTCTCATAAAAATATATAAAAAACTTAACAGTCATAGTTTTTACTATATGAATGCAAACCAAGATTTTTCTATTAATGGTGTCTTTCAAAAAAGCTTACAGACATCACAGAACAATGTGACATTAAATCACATAATCTCATCACAACAGAGCATTATACTTTTAAGAAAGAATGTGCAGTATTTGTTTTTAACTTGATTTTCATGCTGGACTTCAGCTGTGTATAGGCTATGTAAGCATACCAGATTAATCTAAGTCATTCACATATATGTAGTGGACAGTCATACATGACCAGTTACCATATAAACAGTCATACAATAACTGTAAAAATGGCAAAAGGCAATCTTTATGAAAGTTTAAAAAAAATCTCTTTCATAAATGGCAACCTACATTGCCCTACTTTTCTTTGTAAAAAAAAAATTACCTCTTCCTCTTACTTTCTTTTTCTATTTGAATGGTACCTTTGATTGGTGCTGCTGCTACTGAAGCAGATGAGATAGCATGTTGCTACAGAAAGATACTAAAATCACTTTTAGCCCTTTACATGTCTACTTTCTTTTCTGATACACTGGATTTATCAAAAGGCACCAAGACAGACTCCTAAGTGATTTCAAATCGTTTATTCCTTTTTAGGTTCCTCTAGAATGATTTTCCCCACAAAAGTTTACTCTAAGAACTTAAGGAACCAGAAAAAATGAATTCTATAACACAGCAATTTGATTTGTACCATTCAAAAGGAGTAGACATATTAATGGGTTCCTTGAATTTTTCATTTAGAGCAAGAAGTCAGAAAAACTTTTTCACCATAAATATAAAAAGAGAGCACATTTATTAACAGTAGGAAAACTCAGCCTCATAGTAAATATGTATTAACTCTTACATAACAATGCATAACCAAAGCATTAGGATATCAAGGTCAGATGCATTATCCTGAAAACAGATAGATATGTGCCATTAATGTATAACAAATTATGGCATTTAATTCATAAGAAGAAAAGGTAAGTTTCATCACAAAAACAGATTAACTGGATTTCAGCATTGAATAAATTTTAGAGATATTTTAAAGATAAAAAAGCAAAACAAAACTCCCTCTTAAAATAAAGACGTGTTTATATATGTAATCTATTATGTAATTACCTAATATAATTACATTACATAATCCATTCTTATAATGTAAAATATCTGAACTCTAGAAATTTTGACCAGTTAATCTATTTGGCCTTAACATATTCTTAATTCCTCTTGAGAATCACATTAATGTTTTCAGTTCATCAGTCCAATAAGAATGGAGTAATTCTATTTCTTTTTCTTCTTCTTTGGTGGTTCATCCTCAGAGCTGCTATTTCTTCTGCTACTGCTGCTAGTGGAGGTGCTGGAATCTGAGTCTGAAGCAGAGGAGGTGGAAGAGCTTGTAGAGGAGGCTGAAGATGGTGAACTAGAGGAGATTTCATCAGTGTCACTATCCTTTGAGGAGGATGAGGTAGACATTTCTTCACTCTCTGATGAAGATTCACTGGCTGAACTGTCACTGCTATTGATACTAGAACTGGTTATACTCTTAGACCTTTTTTTCTTGGTCTTTCTTTCTATATTAGTCTTTGCAATGCTTTGTTGTAATAATAATCTGTTTTCTTTTTCTTTTAAATCTTTCTTTATTTCTGCTGTTCTTGAAGGCCTATGTAGGTATTTTCTTTTTCCTGTGCATTCATTAATCCAAAGTCCAAACTCTAAGCATTTCTGACATCTTATGTATGTGTTGCTTATTTGCTTCCCTGAAGTTGACACAAAGCTGAGAGGGATAGCTAAGAAGATGAATGACTGCACCAGGATCCAAAAGGTCTTGACAGGCTAGAACTCTGTGTTGAATGCTTGTCTTGTGCTATAAGCTGATGCATGGGAGTCACCACCTTAATGTGGTTGAGAACTACTCCTGGGTATATATTTCTTGATTGTCAACTCCCCCCAACCCCAGGCTTTTATATATGTCATCCCGTTGGCTTCTTTCCTGCCTTGCTTCTGTTGATAAATCAGATCTTCTTTGTATGTAACTTTTATACTTTAGTCTTCAAGGAGACATCTTTGCTCTTTAGCACTCTAAAGAAGTCTTTTGCAGCAGATTTGTCAAGTGCAATATGTCTTCTGATGTCTTGACTGCTGCTTCCATTGGTGTGGATTGTGGAACCAAGTAATAGGAAATCTTTAACAACATCAATCTTTTCTCCATTTATTGTAATGCTGTTTATTGGTCCAGTTTTGAAGATTTTCATTTTCTTTATGTTGAGATGTAATCCATACTGCAGACTGAAGTCTTTAATCTTCATCAGTAAGTGCATCCTCACTTTCAGCAAGCAAAGTTGTGTCATCAGTGTATTACAGGTTGCTTCTTTGTATGAACTTGGATATTTGGTTGTCATGGAAATATTCTAATGTCATTGTGTTTATATTTAATTTGTGACTGTATGTTGGTGTGATTCACACTTGTGGACTTGTTTTTTTTTTTTTTTTTTTAGCTTTATTTTATTTTAATATATCCAAGAGAGTGGGGCTAGTGTGCTACTCTATTTGCTAGTTTGGCAGAATTTATGCACTCATCACCCTGGTGGGTGTGATATAAGGTCAGAATGTGTATATAAATTTCTGTTAGCTGTTTGTGCAGAGCAGTTGAGGATGGATTGTACTGGTATTGGCTGCCATCTCTCATTGATCAGTTGGTGCCAAATCAGGTGGTGGCCTTCACCAAGTAAGTGGGGCTGCTGGAGTTGTGGATATGGTTGGGGCATGTGGGCATTGTTGCTTTCTGGTCATCAGCCACCATTGTGTTGCCTATGCAGTACTTGGCAAGTGGAACTGATTATCAGTTTGCTACATGGGTCAGGTTGCCACTTGCAAATATTCAAAATGGTCATCCCTTCAGGCCAGTCAACAGTCCGCAGCTCTATTTGTCTCCTTATTTACTATTTTCATTCAATTTCTTCAACTTCTTTATCCTTCTCTTCAAAGCTTAGGGTTCCAAGATAATCCTCTATAACTCTTTTAGTTGTTTTCTCATTTCTTTTTTTCTGGAGAGCCTGTGTAGTTTGTCTGCTTATTTTGTCATCTTTTTTACTTTTCTTATTCCATCATCAACCAGTTCTGTCTTATTTTCTGATGTGTATATTTATTGCTATAAATTACCTTCTGAGAACTACTTGTACCATGTTCCAGAGATTTTGTTTGGTATGTTGTGTTTTCATTCAAAGAAGTTGTTTAATTTCATTTTTTATTTCTTCTATCACCCAGTAATTTTTAAGCAGGTGTCAATAGGTTTCTATGTATTTGATATTTTTCCTTGATCTTCCAATGATTGACTACTAATTTTACAGCATTGTGATCTGAAAAGATGACATGCAGTATTTCAATGTTTTTAAATTTATTGAGACTTGCTTTATAGCCTAATGTGATATATTCTGGAGAATGGAGAATGTTCCATATGAGCTGGAGAAGAATATATATTGTGCTATTACTTGATGAATTGTTCTGTGTATATGTATGAGGATGATTTGGTTGATTGTAGTGTTTAGTTAGTCATTTTCTTTACTAAGTTTATTTCTGATTGTTCTGTCCTTCATTGAAAGTGGTGTACAAAGTCTTCTATTATTATTGTGGAGTTTTCTATGTCTCTTTTCAATTCTGTTAGATTTATATATTTTGGGGTCTTTCATTGAGTTCATAGATATTTATTTTGGTTATGCCCTTTTGTTAGGTAGACCCTTTAATCATTATATAATCTCTTACCTTTTCTCTTATGGTTTTTTTTGTCTTAAAATCTATTTTATCACAATAGATTCTTTTAAAAACACCATTATTATTTTTGCAATGTTTTCTCCCCTCACCTCCCATCCCTACTCACTAACAAAGAAAGTTTCCTTCCATATATAAATGTTTCCTTAACTTTTCACAATAATGAACTCATACAATATTTGTCCTTCTGTGATTGACTTATTTCACTCAGCATCATGTCCTCCAAATTCATCCATGTTATGCAGTGTTTTGCAGATTCTACATTATTCTTTAGGTTTGCATAAAACTCCATTGTGTGTATATACCATAGGTTATTTCCATCTTTTTTGCTATTGTTGCTAATGCTGTTCTGAACATAGGTGTACATATATCCGTTCTTGTCTTGGTTCTCACTTCTTTAGGATATATACTTAGTGATATGATTGCTGGATCAAATGGTATTTCTAATTCCTTTGAAGAATTGCCATACTGTTTTCCACAGTGGTTGTATCATTTTATAGTTCCACCATCAGTAGATGAGAGTCCCAAATTCTCCACATGCTCAACAGCATTTGTTATTTTCTGTCTTGTTAAACTTTGCTATTAGTGCTGGGCCAAATTATATCTTATTGCTGTTTTGATTTGCATCTCTCTAATGGCTAATGATCATGAACATTTCTTCATGCATTTGTTGGCTGCATGAATATCCTCTTTGGTGAAATATCTATTCATGTCTTCTGCCCATTTTTTCACTGTATTGTTTGTCTTTTTGTTTTTGACGTGTTGAGGTTTTCTATAAATTTTAGAGATAAGCCCCTTGTCAGACATGTTGTTGTCAAATATGTTTTTCAAATTCTGTAGGTTCTCTTTCTACTTTTTTTGAGAAGTCTTTTGAAACACATGAAAATTTAATTTTTAAAAGGTCCCATTCATCTAGTTTATCTTCTGCTGTTTATGCATTTTAGGTTATGCTTGACAGTTTATTTATGCCATAAACAAGGCCACTAAATTGCCCCATTTTTTTCCTTAAGAAACTTTAAAATTTTGGGTTTCACATTTAAGTCTTTGATCCATCTGGAGTTAGTTTTTGTATATTGTGTGAAGTACAGATCTTGTTCCATTTTTCTGCAAATTGATATCCAGTTTTGCCAGTACCTTTTGTTAAAGAGACTCTCTCTCCCTATTTAATAGATTTCAGCCCTTTGTCAAAGATCAGCTGACCATAGGGTTGATGGATCTATTTCTGGGTTCTCAATTCTATTCCACTGGTCTATGTGTCTGTCATTGTACCAATACCAGGCAGTTTTGACTACTATGACTGTATAGTTTTGAGATCCAGGAGTGTGAGACTTCCTACTTTGTTCCTCTTCAATACTGCATTGCTTATCTGAGGTCTCTTTCTTTTCCATATAAAATTAGTGATTGGTTTTTCCATATCCTTAAAGCATATTGATGGGATCTGGATTGGGATTGCAATGACTGTATCAATTGCTTTGGGTAGAACTGACATTTTCACAATGTTCAATATTCCTATCCATGAACATGGTATGTTCTTCTATTTATGTAGATCTCTTACGGTTTCTTGAAGTAGTGTTTTATTGTTTTCTTTGAACAGGTCTGTTGTGTCTCTAGTGAGATTTACTCCCAAGTATATTACTTTTTTTTTTGGTGACTACTGTAAATGGTATTGATTTCCTTATTTCCTTTTCAGAAATCTCTTTGCTGGTGTAGAGGAATCCAACTGATTTTTGGATGCTGATCTTGTATCCTGTGACTATGCTAAATCTCTCAATTAGTTCCAGTAGATTTTTTTTTCCTTTTTTCCTGATTCTCTTCTGTTTTCTATGTGTACAATCATATCACCAGCAAATAGGGATAATTTTACTTCTTCCTTACCAATTTGGAGGCCTTTGATTTCCCTTTCTTGCCTTATGGCCCTGGCTAGGACTTCCAGTAAATTGTTGAATAGAAGTGGTGATAGAAGGCATCCTTATCTGGTTCCTGTTCACAAAGGGAATGGCTTCAGTCTCTCTCCATTGATAATATTGTTGGCTGCTGGTTTCACATATATGCCCTTTATTATGTTGAGGAATTTCCCTTCTATTTTGATTTTTCTGAGAGTTTTTTTTTTTTTTTTTTTTTTTTTAATCAGAAATGGGTAGTGGATTTTATCAAATGCATTTTTGACATCGATTGATATAATCATAGGGTTCTTTTCCTTTGTTTTATTTATGTGATGGATGATGATTGTTTTTATAATATTGAACCATTCTTGCATAACTGGTGTGAACCCCACTTGGTTATAATGTATTATTTTTTTGATATGTTGTAGGTGTCGATTGGCAAGGATTTTGTTGAAGATCTTTGCATCTCTTTTCATGAGACATATTTGTCTGTAGTTTTCCTTTTTAGTGATCTTTGCCTGGTTTTGTTATCAAGGTTATGCTTGCTTTGTAAAATGAATTTTGGAGGATTACATCCTTTTCTATGTTCTGAAATAGTTTGATTAGGATTGGTGTCAGTTCTTCTCTGAACATCTGGTAGAATTCTCCAATGAAACCATCTGGCCCAGAACTTTTTTTTTTGTTGGTCATTTTTTTAATGACCTGTTCAATTTCTTCTTTTATTATGGATCTGTTCAAATATTCCACCTCAGTCTCTGTTAGTGTTTAGGTAAGTAGTATGTTTCTGGAAATCTGGCCATTTCTTCTGTTGTTGTTGTTGTTATGTGCCATCGAGTCAGCCCCGACTCATAGTGAGCCCTCCTTGGATTTCCAAGGCAGTATCACTACGGAAGTAGGATTTCCCAACCTTCCTTCCAAGGAGTGGC